TTAATGTGCACTATTTCTGGCAGTCTGCAAAGGCCCTAAGTTGTTTTAACGTATACTGTAAGCCCCTTTGAGTCCCATTTTGGGAGAAAGGTGGGATAGAAATTAATTAAATAATAAGAACTTTGAACACAATTGTTACTTTGTAAATCTCCCTCCTTTGGTTTACAATGAAAACTAGTATAACAATTACAAATATGAGGAGGAGGGTGGAAAAACCAATTAGAAAGATTTACTATACTAAAGATGAAAGGCAAAAGCTAACTAATAACAATAGAATTGAACAACTGCAGTCAGAGAAGAGATGAGACAATTAGATTAATTTAAAGGTATGGCTACAAGGAAGGAAGTCAATTTTTTTTTATTAGATGTTAAGTTTTTTTAAAGTATTTGATATTGTTTGATGTTTGATGTACTGGTCATTTATGTTTTGTTATGCATGTTTTATTACTATGTTTGGTGTGGATATCAATAAAAATATTTATAAAAAATGAAGATCTCTCTTATATCATTAGCATACAAGCTGGGTGGGACAGGTTGAAGCCGACATTCAGAGATAGAGAGAAGAAGAAATTTTATTCTGTATATACTCATGTATAAGTCTAGAAATTGTAGTCAAAATATAGACCTAAAAATCCAGGTTGACTCATCCAAGGGTCAATGTGCCGTATTTTCTGGCGTATAAGACGACCCCCCATTTTTCCAGTCAAAATATAGAGTTTTAGCACCTCTATCCTCCTTATCCTTATACCCGGCATATAAGACGACCCCCCACTCTAACCACAGATTTTGCAGGTTAAAAAGTAGTCTTATACGCAGGAAAATAAGGTAAGTACTGTATAATTATTATTTAAAAAGGGACTATCCCCTGGTCCTGGAACCACTTATCCACCTCTACTCTCTCATCCATCCAGCCTTTAGGGTGAGCACAGTTATGCCTGCTGGGATTTTGTTCAGTTCTTTGGCACTGTTTTCCTTTGCTTCATCCTTTTAGATCCTTTATTACATGCCCCTAAGTTTTACCCTCAGCTTGTTCAGGGGTCATATCAAAATCCATAATTTTGGCCCCCAAACCTGCCCTCGACTTACACATGATGTCAACTTATAGTGAAGTACATATGATAAGACATATCTTTCAATGTAATTCTCAGCTGCTTGCTTATTCCTCACTCCCACTCCTCAATCTGAGTTCTGGCCAACTCAGGGCTGGCATATTTGTGCTATCCTCTGCTGCCAGGAATAGTCTTAACAGTCTAACAGCTTGGGGGAAGATGGGAGCTGTTGTACCCTCACTGTACTTCCACAAGGGTAGGTGACTTGAAGGCACATACACACAGACTGTGGACTTCTATTAATTATCGGGAAACCTTGCAGGGAGGTGAACAGCACCAAATAGCTAATAATCAGAATGGAAATGCAGTATATCACCTCCTCAGTTAGTAAGGGACATGAGCATGGAAGGTGCAGCTGCATGCCTGTCCTGTTGGTGGGCTTCCATTTGGCCAGGTGAACAACCGTTTGGCCACTAGATAAACAAAATGTTGGAGGAAGGCTTCTGGACTGATCCAGCCTGCCTCCTCTTATGTTCTGTACCCAATGTAAATTAATTGATTTTGTGCTATAGTGGCTAATACTGTACAGAATAAGTGGGGAGGGGGGATGACAAAAATAGAATTTACATCCAATGACAACAGATTCATAAAACATTTTATTCTTTGGTAGTGATATGCCCATTAACTGAAACTGCATCTGAAAGGAAAATGTGGACATTAATTCTGAAACTTGCTTTGAGCATAGAAGGACCAAAAGGTAGAACCCTATCATAGGTCCAAAACACACAGCAGAAATAATGTAGTCTGATACCACTTTAATTGCCCTGGCTCAATGTTAGGGAATTCCAGGAACTGTAGTTTTGTGAGACATTTAGGGGGGTTGCAGACTGTCAGAAATAGT